TATTTCGAGGGGGGAGTATTAAGATCAATTAAGAAAAATACTCTTCATTAAAGAGTGAGATAAAGATTAATTAAGATGAAACCATTGGAGGAGTACAACGGTCACAACAATGATACCCCTAAGCAGAGAAATAGCTAAATCCCTGGACCTTTTAAAGTTCCGACAGGAAGATAGCGTAGTCAGCCTCAAAGATGTTAAGGTGGTGCTTAAAGCGCCATATGAAGTTTTTAAAAGATTAAACCAATGTTAAGGTGGTGCTTGAAGCGCCATATGAGGTTTTAAAAGATTAAACCGGTGTTAAGGTGGTGCTTAAAGCACCATATGAGGTTTTAAAAGATTAAACCTAAAATAAGATATTTGAAGATACACTATCTTTAAAAAAGATGGGAAGATCTGAGGGGAGCATGGTATGTAGAGGTATGTAGAGACGTAAGAGTTGAAGAGAAGCGGGACTGTGTGCCCACTTCAGTGATTCAAAACAACAAATTTCTTAATACCTGTTGATGTTGTATGATTTATACAACACCTGTTGTTGGCTTTTCGAAGAAAATGAATAATGTAAACAAGGATCTTGTGATACAAGAGTCTGTAGAATCAATTGCATCTTGGCAATGAAGAGCAACAACAGCCCCATATGAAAGTGACAGTAGCTGAGGCCCTAGGTCTCAAAGAATTAGTAAACCAGTTTTCTGATGACTATGAAGTCTATGTTATACTTGTTAGTAAAGAAATTCAAATGAAGGGTGATCCCACCTCATTTAAAGAAGCCATGAGAAACGTTTACTCGTTTAAATGGCAAGAAGCTATGAAAGTTGAAATGAATTCGATGAATACCAATGATGTTTGGGACTTAGAAGTAATTCCTAATGGAGCCAACACAATAGGTTGTTAATGGGTCTACAAGACAAAATGTGACTCCAAAGGAAATGTAGAAAGATATAAAGTTGAAATGAATTCGATGAATACCAACGATGTTTGGGACTTAGAAGTAATTTCTAATGGAACAAAAACAGTAGGCTATTAATGGGTCTACAAGACAAAATATGACTCCAAAGGGAATGTAGAAAGATATAAAGCACGACTTGTAGCAATATGCTTTATGCAAAGAGTATGAAAAAATTACAATGAGAGTTTTCTCTCTAGTCTTATGCAAGGATTCTTTTAGAATCATAATGGTATTCATGGCACATTACGATTTAGAAATACATCAGATGGATGTAAAGACGATATTCCTCAACGGGGATTTATATGAAAACATTTACATGGCATGACCCAAAAGTTTTTTATCGTGGAAGAAAAGAACATAAGGGATGCCGCCTGTAGAAATTCATTTATGGGTTAAAAGTAAGTCTCTAGATAGTAGTATTTAAAGTTGATGAAACGATAAGAAAGTTTGGGTTTTAAAGAAAATGAGAAGACAATAGCGTTTATGCAAAGCTCAAGAATGGAAAATTCACTTTCCACATCCTATGAATAGATGACATTCTACTCATTAGTAGTGATGTTAATCTGTCATTGGAGAAGAAGTTTTGTCCTTAAGTTTCAACATGAATGATCTTGGTGAAGCATCATTGGTTCTAGGAATCAAAATTCACCAAGATAGAAGAAAATGGGGTATTAGGACTATCACAAAGGCATACATAGAAAAAATTCTAAAGAAATAAAGTATGCATGCGAGTAAACCTACGCCTGCTTCTATAGTCAAGGGTAATAGATTGGGGAACTTTAAGTGTTCCAGGAATCGATATGAGATCGATCAAATGAATATGGTTCTATATGCTTTGGCTGTTGGAAGCTTGATGAGTGTACAAGTATGAGTAAGTACTTACCCTGATGTAGTTTACGTATCCGGGATATTTTTGGCAAAAGTCCAGTCCAGATATAGATAACTTGAATAGAGTTGACAATGTCTTGTAATTTAGCAAAGTATCATAGGCCTCATGCTGAGTAAGAAAGAATAAGCACTCTCAAATAGTTGAGGGTACAAAAGTTAAGTCTTGGCGAGATGTGTAGTGAAATCCACAGCAGTTGTTAACACTCGTAGTTGGAGTATTATTGTGGAAAAGCTCCAAAGAAACAGTTGTGGCATCATCAGTGATGCATACCATAGTATAGCTTGTCATGAGGCTTAAGGAACAGGCAAAATGAGGTTAAGGGAATTTGTACCCGAATTTAACAATGGTAGACAACAACAATAACCATTTAAAGTAAGTTAACTCCTAAGACAACAAGTCAAGTGTGCTGTCAAACGCATTGACACTAAGGTATATGTTGTAAAGGAGAAAATCCAGAATCATTTTAAAAGCATTGAGCACATAAGTACCGAGTAAGTACTTGCGGATCCGCTTACCAAAGGCTTACCACCCAGTGCGTTCAGAGAACACACAGTCGACATGGGTTTATAGGAAAGCCTATGATTTCTAGATACTAAGGGCCCAGTTGAGTATCTGTTTCAAAACAGAGAGGTGCATTGTAGCTGTTTAATCTAGTAGCAACTAACCGTGATGATGAGGCACGTTCTATGCACTGATCTATGATGGAATGAGAAAAAGATAAAGTAAGTTGAGTTTAAGTCATAAGGTGGGATCAAGGGGGAGAATGTTAGGATGATCTCCACCAATTTGGTCCAACGACCAATTGGGCCCTTGACTCGCGCCCTGATCAGGGGCGCCCAGCCGCTCTCCTGGCTGGTGGGCCCCCGTCGCGCAGCGCTATGTAAAGGAGGTGGGAACTGGGGCTCGTAACACGAGGTTCACCGTAGCCGCCATTCCCCACCTAACCCCAATCGATCAAGGGAGTGTTGTGAGCGACGGGAAGCGCCATGGCCTTCGTCGGCGCCACTGGACCGCGTCTCCACCGCACGGCGTTCGACTACGACACCGTGCCACCGTCGCCCCTCACTGCATCGCCACTCCTATGGTGATTTCTTCCTTCTCTGTCAAACCCGAAAGGTATGGCCCTCTACTCTTTTTCTCTCTCTCCAAGTCTTCTCAGTTTTCTCATGGCTTATACACTTGCAATAGTGAAGTAAAACCACTAGATCTACTCCTAGTTGATTCTAAGAATCCATCAGGGAAGTCTGACCATGACGACGATCGCCGAATATCTGGACCTCTGGGAAGCCACGACGAACATCAACCTGAACGAACAACAGGACCGGATAGTGTGGCGTTGGACACCGGATGTGAGTACTCCTCCAAATCATCCTACGTCAAGTTGCACACGGGCTCCATCCATTTCCGCGGTCACTCATTGATCTGGAAGACATGGGCGCCGCTGCGAGTTAAAATCTTTCTATGGCTCGTGTTTCGGAAGCGGCACTGGACCAATGACCGTCGTGCAAGGCACGGACTTGAGGCACGGGAGGATTGCTACCTCTGCGATCAGGCTTCAGAGTTGATTGATCACATCCTTTGCAGCTGCCCATACTCAAGGGAGGCCTGGTTCCACATATGCACAGCCCTTGGTCATCAGCTTCCGACGACGGAGCACTCAGTCATCTCTTGGTGGACGCGCCTGAGAGCAGGTTGGCACGGCAACCACAGGAAAGGCGTTGACTCGCTCTTTGCGCTCGTCTCCTGACAGATTTGGAAGGAGCGGAATGCTCGCTGTTTCAGGGATGCCACGACCATGGTGCAAGAACTACTACTCGTCATCAAGGCTGAAGCCGATCAATGGGTTCGGTCCGGGGCAACAAACTTAAGAGGGTTGGCGTCGGCGGGGTAGTTCACTGCCCGTCGGGTACTCAAAGTTGTATTCAGAAAAGATGTAGCTTCGCGCCTTTCGTCTTCAGGCCAACCTCTTGTAATTCAAACTTCTTATCCACTTAATATAATGATATGCATCTCTCTTGCGTATTCGAGAAAAAAAAAGCCAAGATTAGTTCAGTAACTTGGTACTCTAAGCCACCTCCAACAAGAACACCTCAGATAGCTCATAGCTCATAAGAATATGGCTCAGTATTTTGCATACATACATGGAGTGGAGGGAAAATATAAGAAGAGAGAAAACCTGACTCTTATTCCCACGCTAGTTCGGAGGGATTACAAGGCCCGCTCGTGTAGCCCATCCATGTCCCGTCCCGGCACAGAGCGAGTGCAGGGCGGGGGCAGCCCGGCGAGGTTCGCTCGAGCGCAAGGCAGCGGCCCGGCGGCGGCCCACCGCGAACAAACCTACAACGAGAGGCTGTGTTTGCCTGGCTCGATGCAGGTTTCCTCAGCGAGGCGAGATGAGCAATGAGAAAGAAACAGCGCGAGTCTGGAGTGGACTCTGGTGTTCCGAGTGGAGCGAGCGAGCGTCGAGAAAGAAACAACGCGGGCCTAAAGCTGTTTGCCTGGGATAAACCACAGGCCTCTTTCCACCCGTGGATTGGGCCAGGATCCGCGCAGGGATTCGTGGATCCAAAGGAGGCCTAAGGTTTTTATTTGAAACCAAGTTCAAAAGCATTCCAACACAGCTAAAATTTTAGAGATGCTCCCATGATGCACATGCTTAGCAGGTAAACAAGCTGGGTCGATACACAGCAGACAGCACCCACAACATCGCTTAGCAGGTAAACAAGCTGGGTCGATACACAGCACCCACAACATCGCCAAAAAAATGAATTATTATTTGATCACCGAAGCTCAGTGCCTTAATGACATCATTGCCAACGAAGAACATGGATCGAGCATCAGTAATTAGGATTTCTTAGGATTTCAAAAAACAACTTCACTTACAATCTAGAAGCTTATAAAAAACACTCGATAGTCTCCACCATAGGGAACCTGGGTGTGTAGCCCCTGCTATGCATCAGAAATCAGACAACACGATTTATTCAAGTAAATTATTAAATTCGGAACTAGGATGCACACAGCATTAAACTACAAATGTTGTACACGATGATTTGCGCATGTATGCAGCTCGCTACAGGGCATAAAGTTCAAAATATGCACGGAAGCTACTATGCTAGTTCGCTACTGCACATACAACAAAACGAAGGTAAGAAACAGAAACCAGTTCTAACGCGGCTCTCTTGACTGAGACCTATCAGCCTGCCTGTCATCATGCCTATCGTCATCCCTGCCACCATGCATGTCATCAGGCCTATCATGCTGCCTTTCATTATCCGAAGGCTGCCTATCAAACTGTCGACCATTTCTCTCATTGTGATTCTCATATCGCCTCTCATTGCCCGAATGCTGCCTACCGTAATGCCGATCAGGCCTGGATGGATATCCCTCTGTGTTTGTTGGATGGTCGTATCTGCAGTCAACTTTCCAGCAGTTGCCTTTCTCAAGATATGTCCAGCAGACTCCACGTGGACCTGCAGGTACTCTATGCCCTCTTGACCCCCCATCACCACCAGAGTGTTGCTTCCATGACCTTCCGCCTGAGTCGCCAGCACTAAAAGCACCAAGGTGTCCAGAGTGCCTGCCCCCATTCTCTCTCTGCTGATTATTCCAATTAGGATTACCATTTGGTGCATTCCAGTTCATGTTGTTATTAGCCTGACCCGGATTTCCCTGCACAGGAGCACTCCAGCCGACGTTTTGGTTCATGTTTCCAGCTTGTTGGTTTCCCCAGGCAGGATAAGAATTTGCATTTCCTGCTGCAACACCACCCCAAGGGGCCATTGCGACTCCTTGCATCTGACCTCCCATCATAGCAGCTGCATTTGGAGTCCCCTGGCCTTGAGTTGCAGCCCAGATCATGTTCATGCTGGTGTTTCCTGGATTTGGTAACCAACCCATGTTTGGAACTGCATTTGGCTGCGTTGGCATGGCTACACCCATGTTGTAGCCTGAAGCACCTTGAGCTGATGCTACCCAAGGCATATTCATATTGCTCTGTCCCATCATTCCCCAACCTAAGCTTGCATCACCCTGAGGTGTATTTCCCCAGGTCATATTTCCAGTTATCTGAGATTGGCCAGGTGTGTTCGCCACTTGTGCAGGTACAGCCCACCCACTGCTTTGATTATCACTGCCAGCAATGGTTGTCAATGAAGGCTGTACTGATGCAGCAGATGGTGTTGACATCATCTGCGATGGCATCATTGAGTTGGAGGATGACATCTGGTTTCTTGTGTCTGCAGGTGATACAACAATAATGTCATTAGGTTGGCTTACACTTAAAAATCTTAGTAAGAGCAGATGAATAAGACTGAAATCACTGGATGTGATTGAAAATTTGAAAGTAAAGGAAACAACAGAATCCGTGATTTTTAAAAGCAAAAGGGAAAGCAAACATGGCACAAACAGCAGGCAAGAATTGAGCTAATACCTTCAAGTTGCTGAGTGTTCAGTTGTGCTGGTCCAAGCTGTGCACCCAGTTGTCCGATAGCTGCAAGGGACCAAAAAAAATGTATACATCAAATACAAACATTTCTGTACTACAATTTGCAGATCTCAAATGCATCGCCACCTATTTAACATAAAATAGCGGAGTTACGATCCAAACAAGTCAGGCCAATTTAGACCCCACAAATTTGGTTCCAGTTCCACAGTTCTGGGCACAACTCGGGGGATCTAAATGGCGATTAACGGATTTCACTGAAACAGGAAATGAGGAAAACCTTTTATAAGGGCCTACCTTCAGCTGAAGAGCTCACTCTTCCATGTGAAACATCTTCTCCTGATTTGGATTCAATGCCATCAGCTAATCTGTCATCCGTTTGCGGTAAAGAAGATAATATTTGGTTCTGGGAGGTCAAATCTGAATTAACCATTTCTGCATTTGCAGTTGCAGGAGCCATTCCAGGAGTTAAATGACCGATATTTTCTGCAGCAACAATATTTTGTCCCGAATAGCTTCCCATGGCAGGCTGGGTAGGTGTCACAGGATTTACTGCAGCCCCAAACTGACTTGACGTAGCATTCCAACTTCCAGTAAGAGATTGTTGGCTTGTGTATGCTGCATGAGAATTTTGCATCCCATAATAACCTTGTGTGCCCGAATGGATCATGGTTGTTCCAAGGTTCGTTGAACTATAATCATGTCTTTGATCACTACTTGAGAAAGACTTTGCAACTACTGATTTTGGAGTTTGTTCACCAGCTATTGTGCTTTGCTCAAGAGGGGTTTTGCTAATTTGAGACAAACTAACATGTGGTGGTTCCCATGGTGGAAGATCTTTCTCAAACTTCCCTGCCAAAGCATCAGTCAATAGAATGGAATCATCCTGCTTCTCACTAGCTTTCCATATCTTCAAACTAGGAGGGAAGTACCCATTGCTGTTCCATTTCCGCAGCTGTATGATTGAGAAAGGACCTTGGATTTTATTAGAAGGATCCATGTACAGCCAGATCTTCTCAGAGTCGTTAATGACTGATTCAGATGCAGTTTTTGCCCCTGAACCTATGTTAGTAGCTAAAATTCCAGATGAGGCACCAGGTGACTCTTGTGGAGCACTGCGCGTGGTGCCTTCCAGTTTAACTGTTTGTGCACCAATGTTTGGGCTCTCTGATTTACTTGTATAACCAGCACTTTCGCCTTGAGAAGAAAATGTGGACCTCCGTGAAAGGGGTGATTCCATATGAGAACTCGATTCAGCCCATGTGTTTCGATTAGATTCCCAGTTGGTTTTTGGATCTCGCTGTACAGCATTTCTACCATCTCCTTTACCTGGAGACACAAGATTACCATCTTTCCTCGAGAAAGAACCTCTGGACTTATTGAAGCTACCTGTACAATAAAAATTATGGAAGTTCATGTCAGAGTTGTAATAATAATATCAGAAGATGATACTATGGGAGGGAGTAAAATACTTCTTTCAATTTCCTGCTCCTGTTCCTCCGGAGATTCATAATATGGATCCATCGCAGGGTCAGCATGTATTTCAGGTTCTTCATTCAGCCTACGAGCACGCTCCTCAGGAGTGCTTAGCAATTTCAGCTTCTCTACACATTCCCTAAGCGTGAATACTGATTAAGGTATACAAGCCAAATTCACATAAAAAGAAAGAACAATCCTCACTGAAACTTCTTCCAGAGGGAAAAAAAAAGCGTAAAGCCTACTGGCGGAAGTGGCAGAAGCAGATTAACTGACCATAAGCACCAGCAGAAATTAACTATACTGACAATGTATAATGCTGCTTTATAGATGATAATGCATGAAAAAGGATATTCTTTTCTATGGCCCATATCACTTGCACGGTCACGAAGATGGCCAAGTCGCATCTTTTCGCTTTCAATCCACTGAAAGGTTTGTAATTGGCAGTAAAGTCAGTAAAATAGAATTACTTAGCCACAAAAAACTTTTATAGTTCGTTAGGATGAGCTGCTTACATCATTGACTTTTAGAGTTTGGAGAACCCTTGCCTTCTCCTGAACCTCTCCCTGGAAGATAAGATAGTTAGACAAGAAAACAGTGCATAAATAACACAAAAATGTGCAAGAAACACTCATAATAAGTTAATGATAACTTTACCACTGTCAGTCTTGGAATGAACCCATACTTTATGCTTTGACGCAAGCGTTTGCACTCCTCCTAGAGAAGAAAAAACAATTGCAAATCAGAAAAAGCATGAAATTTGAACGAAATAGAGTAGCAAATTTACTGATCAAGTGCATGTTTGTATCCATGAAGTCAAGTAGCAAGGTCAAGGATCTTCCAACAGCAGTTTAAGTAACAGTACTCAAAGTGAAAGACTGCCTTATACTAGATTTTAGTAAACTGTATAATACTACTAAAACTATTAAGTTCAAACTGAGAAGAAAAATACCTCAGTGAACTCCTGGTTTGAGATTATGTCAATAGTTACTGCCTCCCGCTTGTCTAAGTTTAGTATCTCTAGCGTTATATCAGTAGTCCTTTTCCCAAATTTATATTTTTCTGCAGATTTTCCAGTCCCTGGAAACAATAGAAGGAAATTTAGTATAATGCAAAGACAAACAATACAAATTAGGAAGTAAAACAACCCTTACCAACAATTTGTACAAGTCTATAAATGTCTTGCCTTTGCCCTGTACCAGGTATTCTTATTCTCACAAATGATCCAACAACTTTCTCATCAAATGTGTCAACATCACCAATCAATTCTTCCATTAGGTTGCGACGTAAGTACATCAAGCCAATGTTATGGTTATCTATTGCTGCATAGTCATCAAGATTAGGCTGATGTCTCAGGTCATACTTACGTGATTTTCTTCTTTTTTCTGAACTCATAACAACTGAAGCTTCACTGTTACCATCAGCATCCTGACTAGGATCAGGGTCTACTACACCACCATGATTTTCAACAGCATCGATTGGTGAAACCTCACTCGTGGGAAAATGTGATTCAAGAAGCTTAAGCATCTCAAAATGCCCAACACGTTCTTTTGCGAAGAGACTTTGGAGCAAAGAATCACAAATTATCTGGCTTTTCCGACGAGGATCACGCAGATTGTTGCGTTTGACATAGTCAAGTAAAAGGGGTTGAACATCATACTGACTGATCACAGACTTATCACCATTTCTCGCATGAGCTACAAAGTTTATGAGCTCCTTAGAAGCCCAGCTGGCCTCTTCAGCTGAGGATGTAGAAGTCCCAACACTTTCAGAGTCTTTTGATGAATGCTGGCTGCTCAAAGAACGCCTGGGTAATTTTCTAACCTTTTTCCCTGAGGAAGTCTGAGCATCATGAATGCCTGATAGGCCTCGTTTGGCAGATTTCCTAGTGCCCTCTTTTCCTTCAGAACCCTCCTCAATGGCAGCTTGTTTAGATCGCTTCCTTCCCCTCTTTTTTGGTGTATTGTTTTCTAGATGACGCCCTGATGAACTCTCTAAATTAACTTCTTCCTCATTAGTATCAGGTAATTCTCCACTCTTCTGAGACTTGGCTGCTGATATTTCCTCAACTGTCAATGACAAGTTTGTCTTCAAATGTAACCAATAGTCCTTGAACAAATACCACCAGCTGCTTTTGTCATCAAAATCCACCTCCTGTTAAAACAAATTTTCATAAGACAAAATTCCACAAGTATAAAAAAACCTACTGTAAAATCAATAGGGTTCCCTTCACATGAACTACAACAGATTGAAAGTAATACACACCAACAATAAGCTAGATTGATAGAGGAACAGGAAAAAAGAACAAAGTCGAACATACAACAACCAACCTGAAAGTTTTCCAAAATAGTTGTAATTACTACAATAGCTGATGTTGTTTAATAAGAATTTGAAACAGGGTAGGTACTTTGTGCATCATGTAAATGCTTTGTAACTCAGTGAAACTACATGCCTCTAATGTTTATTGGTTTGCCAAAATAACATTTCCAACTATAAATGATTGAGTAGTAATTGTGGTAAATGCCAGGATTATCTACCCACAGTTGTAACCATATGATGCATGGTACCATTCTCTTTGGCTTATTAATCAATTGTGACTCTTTATGTAATTTATGCATGATTGAGTATGATAGCAGGTAGAGTTTAAAACTTGAAGTAGTGTTCAACTAAGATCTAATCACAGTATCACACTTGCACCCCTGTAGTCACATTTTTTATGTTGCAGTGTTTCCAAGTTGCAGCATACATTTCTCTTCTTTCCAAAACACACACCGACATATTTAAGGTCCCATTTGAATGCAGAAATTCTGTAAGAAACTTAAATAAAGGGGAACTCTTAATTTCTGTGCAGAATGGGAAAAAAACAATAATAACTTAGTGCCAATGGATATAAATTGTAGCATGGAACACCATCCAACATTGTCTTGGTCTACTCCAGGAAAAACTAAGTGATGCTCTGGTAAGCATGCAGTCAAGCCTTCCATACTTTTGCTATCTATTCTGGCATTTTAGGTTGGACACCCAAAGGAGACATTTGCCCTACCAGAATTTTATATAGACGAATATATACAGGAGGCAATAGTAGTCAATATTGCATTTTAGGGGCAGCATGGATGGCCAAAATACCACTTATTTGTGACTAAAGAGTAGCAAACTACAAAACTATTTAGCATCAGTTCCGAAACACAATTCTGACTACACAGCGAATTGCCTACAAGTTGGATTGATCCATTAGATTTGACCAAATCAAACAAAAAGTTCAAGCATGGATCAACAACTTAATTGTAGCAGGGGGCATGGACATTGTGGAACTTTGAACAGAAGGAATCTTTGATGGGGCCTCTCCTTTCTTGTCATCAGCACTTCAATTCTTCAGAGAGGAGGCAAGGCTCTGGTGCTTGGCTGGAGCTACAAAGCTCCAGCCTCCAGGAGCTGGCCATGGTTGGGTAGAGTGGTTGGTTTAGGTAGCAGGCCGGTTGTGAGCCCCCTGCTGAGGTCAGTGTTGTTTTGTTATGGGCAATTAGACCTGGTTGTATTTTTATTTTGCAACCTTCTTCGGCCTCCTAGAGGACTTTAAAGTGGCTGCTTTGTATGGGACACTTTACCTCCTTTTTCTCTCTAATATAAAAGATGCACAGTTTTCCTGCGATTCGGGAAAAAAAAAACTTAATAGTACTGAGTCACTTCTATAGAACAGATACTGGGAGAACATGGCAAAAACCAAGAAGCACCTGGTATAAATCATTTGCATGGAAAAATCATATAAAACAATAAAGCGGTGACCTCAGTGCCATAAATAAAGAAATGCAAAAACATAATGATAAAGAAAATAACTAGACTGAGGAAATTAGAATGGTGGAGAAGGATACCATTGGGTCTGCAGCCTCCTCTCTATTCTCTATCAACATAACAGTGTTCATGCACGTATCACAAAAGCCCTTATTTTCTCTGACACAGCTAAACTTTGCATCTTTCATGCATGCCTTGCATAATGAAAAGGTGCATGTGTAGCACATATGGCGGGCAGGTTTCTGACAGTTGCTACAAATGTGCCACCCTGGCAGCAAAGTAAATAGTATCAAATAAACCCTGAGTCCTTGTTTCAGAAGCCAGAATAACAGGAAAACTAAACATACTTCCTAATTCATATACAGAAAGAGATAACATGCTTTCTAATCCATACAAGTTCAACAAATCAAGACTGATTTCACTAGTCTCGATGTTCAGGAACAAATAAAACATTCTCAAGTACAACAGTTCTGTGGACAATATAACAAGATCTCACAGTTCTGTGAACAACAAGATCTCACAGTTGCTCAATCATTGAATTTTAACATGCAGTTAACGTTTAGAATATGGTTGTTTAAGGAATTAAGGCTCTAGTCATCCAGTGGGAGCAGATATGTAGTGACATATCAAAATTTTCAGTTCCAGGCAGGGGAAGATGTGTTAAAGCTGGAAACTGGAAAAAAATTACAGGTTCTCAGACAAGTCATTATACAATGGTTTTACTGTTAATGATGCTGGTCCCTCATTTAAATATATTTGGAAAGGAAAAATTCCAGCAAAAATCAAAATCTTCTTATGGCTAATGGAAAACAATGCTGTGCTAACTAAGGATAATATGATCAAGAGGAAGTGGAAGGCGAATCCCCTCTGCTATCTTTAATATATACATATATTATGTACATTAATATATACATATAATATGTACATTATGCAGTAGACCCATAATGGTAAATGAAAGTGGCTAATTATTGAATAAAAAGCCCTTTTAACTCAGTGGTAGAGTAATGCCATGGTAAGGCATAAGTCATCGGTTCAAATCCGATAAAGGGCTTTTCACTTAGTGCTAGACAGAAGTCATTGGTTCTGTGATCAGGAGGAAAGCATCACTCACCTCTTCTTTGTTTGCCCAGTGGATAAAGTGGTGTGAATAATTGTGGCTCAAAGCCTTGGGGCTGATGACAGACCCAAAAACTTAGCTCAATGTTGAAAGTGGGCTAAGAAATGGTTACCTAATGGTAACAAGCTCCATGCTTTTGGGATTGCTGCAATTTGCAGGGCAATCTGGAAAACAAGGAACAAGGCTTGCTTTGATGGTAAATTGGTGAAACACCCTGCTGAAATCGTTTGCTATACTTGTGCGTTTATGCGATACTGGACAGGTCTGTATCTGGCGGAGATTCAGGAGATGATGGTTGAAAGGGTGAATATCATGCTACATGTCGCCACAAGATTGCTGGCAGAATCAGCTTTCTTTGGGCCAGGTGATGCTGCAGCTGGAGGACGCACCTTGAAGGGGTGAAGGCAAGAATTGAAAGCTTCCTGAAGATGGTGTGGCTCCAATCGGCTGGAGTTGCCAAGTCACAAATGTTGTGAACTTTACGTATGGATGTGTGCCCTGTGATGTATAAGGGAGTGTGTTGCACTGGTCGAGCATTAAACTTGGTTGGTTTGGTAGTCAGTTGCATCATTAGCTTTTAAGTCCATGTTTTGCAGGGCACCTATTCCTCTCCTGCCTGACAACTGAAGCGTAGCTCTTTCATCATCTAGTAGGTTCGCGAACATCTGTATTTCTGTTGTGATTAATGGAAATGGGGTCGAGCTCGGTTCGGGGAAAAAGGAACAGATAAAACATTCTCAAATATAAGCTATGATACTACGAACAGGGAAATCGTGTGATGACCAATGTTGCGGGATCAGTGTAAAATTTATACAACAACGACAACAACAACAAAGCCTTTAAGTCACAAACAAGTTGGGGTAGGCTAGAGTTGAAACCCAGCATAAGCAATCAAGGTTCAGGCACATGAATAGCTGTTTTCCAAGCACTCCTATCTAAGGCTAAGTCTTTGGGTATATTCCATCCTTTCAAGTCTCCTTTTATTGCCTCTACCCAAGTCAACTTCGGTCTTCCTCTGCCTCTCTTCATGTTACTATCCTGGCTTAGGATTCCATTACGCACCGGTGCCTCTGGAGGTCTCCGTTGGACATGTTCAAACCATCTCAACCGGTGTTGGACAAGCTTTTCTTCAATTGGTGATACCCCTAATCTATCACGTATATCATCGTTCCGAACTCGATCCCTTCTTGTATGACCGCAAATTCAACGCAACATACGCATTTCCGCGACACTTATCTGTTGAACATGTCGTCTTTTCGTAGGCCAACATTCTGCACCATACAACATAGCAGGTCTAATCGCCGTCACTTGTCTTTTAGCTTCTGTGGTACCCTTTTGTCACATAGGACACCAGATGCTTGACGCCACTTCATCCACCCTACTTTGATTCTATGGCTAACATCTTCATCAATATCCCCGTCTCTCTGTAGCATTGATCCTAAATATCGAAAGGTATCCTTCCTAGACACTACTTGACCTTCCAAACTAACATCTCCCTCCTCCCGAGTAGTAGTGCCGAAGTCACATCTCATATACTCAGTTTTAGTTCTACTGAGTCTAAAACCTTTGGACTCTAAAGTCTCCGGCCATAACTCCAGTTTCTGATTCACTCCTGTCCGGCTTTCATCAACTAGCACTACATCGTCCGCGAAAAGCATACACCAAGGGATGTCCCCTTGTATGTCCCTTGTGACCTCATGTAAAATTTATACAAGTTAAACAAATCAAAAAGAGCATATAGAAAGATTTCACTAATCTCACTGTTTACGAACAAATAAAACATTTTCAAGTAAGCTATATGATAGTAAGAACAGGGAAATCACATCATGACCAATGTTGTAGGATAATTATAAAATTATAAGTTCCATATTTCATACAAGTTAAACAAATTGAGAAGAACATAATAGACAGGTTTCACTAATTACATTTTCCTAAGTTAGCTATGACAATAAGAAGACAACTGTGAGACGACCAACATTACAGGATCATTGTAAATGTACCTTAAAGAAATAATGCATGTCCACATGATTCAAATGCAAGAATGTATGTAAGGACAACGAGGGTTGATCGGACAAAATTATTGCACATACCACAGTTCCACCGACCCTTTGACTTGAAGAAGTCATCATCCCGATTAACACAAGAAGGATGGTAGGCTTTAGGGCAGCCCCTGAAATGAGGACATATAAATGAAGACATGATCAACCCAAAGCTGTAACATGTTCGATCTTCCATATTTTGGAATAATAAAGAAATAAAGAAACTCCATGTGATGCACAAACCTACGATCACAAATCACAAGATCACCACCATCAAAGCAAATGAAGCAGACCTCCTCCTCATCCTTCCTCTTTACAGATGGTTTCACCACAGCCTGTACCTTGGAAGATGGACGGCCTCTCTTACGACGCCCTCCACTTTTCTTTGCCACTAAAGGAGGAGGCTCGTCGTCGTCATCGTCATCATCCATATGCGCAGCCTCTTCTTCAGGGACATCATCACCAGTTATGTCATCGACAGCTTCTGCAACATCTTCACCAACAATTTTGTTGTCTTCATCATCATCGTTAGTTGTGGCAGCTGCCTCCGTCAGTATGGCATTTTCTTCCACTCCGTCGTGATCAGCTATCACAGCCTCTTTCAGCCCATTATCATTGCCAATCAAGCCAGCTCCCCCCATTTGGAGACCCTCTTCTTCAGGGATATCATTACCAGCCTTGTCTATCTGAGCAGCCTTTTCTTCAGGGACATCGATACCACCCTCGTCATTTACAGCTTCACCTGCAATGTATTCAACAGCAATTCTGCCTTCCTCAACCATGTCTCCAGTAATGTTTACTGCATCCACCTGCATGCCTTCCTCTTCCACACAATCCTCATCAGATGTTGCAACTTCCTTTTGCTCATTATCATCTCCAGACAGTCCACCCCTACTCATTTGTATTCTCTCATCAGGCACATCAACACCGACTGCCCCATCATGTTTCTCACTATCATCTCTGGTCGTGGTAACTTCACCCATGTGCTTGCCCTCCTCATCTGTGGCAGTGTCAGCAATAGCGCCAACACGTTCTGCCTCGCTGTCATGTCCAGTTTGGATCTGCATATCCATATTTGCGCGGTCCTGTACAACATGGTCTCCAGCTTCCACAAGCTCTGTTTCCACTTCATTTAACAGAGCTGTCGCCACATCTAACTGTGGGCTTTCCTGATCCTGAGCATGCACGTGATCATTAGCTGCAACATCCATATACATCCTTCCACTGTCATCTTGTACATCATTTACCAAGGGAGCGACCACATCAGCGTCAAGGGAGCCACCACCAAACTCCTGATCAGTTTGGTCATCCGACCAATGCACACCTCCAGTGAAAACTATATTGCAGTCATCATTAACCAGGCAAGCAGCCACCGCTATGCGATCCTCCGTGGATGATACCAGGGCAGCACCCACCTCTATGAGATCATCCGCAGCAGCACTAACCACTTTGGTTTGCATGCCAACCTCCATGAGATCATCCACCCGTGTGGAGGATGACACAGCAGCACCCACCTCTGTGAGAAGATCCACAGCAGCACTAATGACATTAGTTTGCCCCTCTACATCAGCACCCTCCTCTGGCTCATCAGCCTTAGCAACATCGGGTTGGTTGGGGTCTTCAGAAATCCCCACGGGCTCATCTGCCACTATAACATTGCCACCTTCACCATAACAAGTTCCACCATCCTTCTGACCCTCAATAGCCTCAATATCCTTGTAGCCCTCGCCTAGCACAGCATCCGGGGTTGTCCGCATGGCCTCCTCCATTGCAGGAGGTGGCTCAGCGTCGGACATACTGATTCTATCAGTGGAACAGTGCCAGACCAGGATTTGGGTGATTGGGTATTCCCATCCACTGCTAGTACACCCCGTCTGGTGGACGTGTGCGCGCGGCGCTCGAGCTCGGCCCCGGGAGGCCGGGACGCCGGATGCTGCCCGCCTGCTCTGCTTCCGCTGGCGCGCTGCAGAGTTCGCACGCTCGGCGGTGGCCGCGCGGTCGCCGCTGTCCGCTTGCCGCAGCCTCGCGCTGGGCGATGGCCGCTGCGCAGTTGCACCGTCGCGGCGTTGCGCTTGTCGGCCGCCGGTGCCTGCCTACCGGCTTCCCTAGGGTTTGTGATTGGGGGATTGGGATCGAATCAGAAGGAGAGACCGATAGACGAGAGCGGCAGGCCGCAGGAGAGATCGAGCTAGAGGCGACTCGAGATGATGTGGGCGCCGAGTGGGCTGTGGACAGTTCACAGTTGGGATACGGCTTTGCCGCGACGGCCCGACGGCCCATGGATTTACTCGTGTCGGACATTGTCCAAATGTCACGAACTTGATTTTTTTATTTTATAGGTTGAAATTCCCTCAAAAAAAATATTTATAGGTTGAAATTTTATTAGAAATTCGTTTTTGCAAAGAAAAGGAAATAAAATATATACCATATCTATCAATTTAATCTACAACTATTCTATATTCTATCTACTATTATTATATATTATTATATAGAGAGCGAAAAAATTATAAATATATGTCATGCAATAGATTCTACCCACCTCATCTCAGAGAAAGCAGCGTGTGTTTGGATATAGAGACGAGTTGGGTTGGACCCAGTTTCTTTGATTTTGGTTCATAGAACATTAGATCTGGGTCAAACCCAAGAAGAAATATTTGCAATAGACGCGGGTTTCCTCGGTACCGCAAAAGCAAGCGGACTAGGTCGAGCCAAGCTCGAAGCCTTATCCGAGCGGTCACCTTCCCCGCTCGTTCCTTTCTCGCACGCATCTCCATCGAGTCCAGCTACTGGGTAGCACAGGCCAAGCACGCAACCACCCTTGAAGGGGTCTTAAACAAGGTCCTTTGGAGGTTGCCTAGGTTAAGGGCCTATTTGGATCTGCTCCTCTAAACTTTATAGCTCTAAAAACTTTAGAGCACTTTAACTCGGTATCGAGATCTAAAGCTTTGATATGAGGTGGATTAAAGTTTAGAGCTAACTAGACCACTTGTTTAGATAATTTAGCTCTAAAGTTTAAAGGTCTAAAGTTCAGAAAAGCAAATCCAGTGGCGGAGCCACCGCCCGAACACCCCGGGCAGCCGGCCGAGCTCGTCGCCGACGTTCAAAAGGAAAAATTCCTTTATATCAAAGTAGAACCCTGTAATTTTCTAGCCAAATACTTTTTGCATAATAAAAATTGCCTTAGCTCCTTGAAAGGTCGTAGATGGCTAAATGGGGTGAATAGCCTAATTATAAATTCTACAAAACACTATATCAAATTCTTAGACAACAATAAGGCGATAAACAGTTTTGCTCTAGCTCTACTTGAAAAAGGTAAGTCACCTATCAAATATCTATGTTGCTATGATCTCTATGGCAGTCAAGAGCTATGCAACTAATTCTATTGTAGTGAGCTAGCAAGATAAGTACGATACTTCACTACTCAACTAGCTACACAAGCTATTACTACACAAGAGATGAATATCAAATAACGTAATACAAGTAAAGTAGAGGGTGATATACCGAATCGGACAAGAGATAAACTAATCAAATGAATACCAAGATAACATAATGATTTATCATGTGGTTCGTTGCTTGCCGGCAACTTAATCCATGTTGTGACGACGCACTCATTTGATGGCTCACGCGCTAATAGGCACCATGCCTAGCCCAACACTTAGGCGCCGTAAGAACCAACACAAATGAGGATACTCAATGTCATGAGTAATCCACTATAGTACCTTTTTACGATCTCTCATGGGGACTAAGGTCAAGAACCCCTCACAATCACCACGATCGGAGCCGACAACAATCACCAATAGCCGCTCAACGACCCCACAAGCTCTGGACCGGCTAGGTGTCGACAACCATCAAGAGTAACAATAATTCCACCAGCTCAACACGCTCAACTAGTGCCATAATATGCAAGAACACTAAGCAATGCACTAGAGGCTCTCCAAATCTCCTCAAATGATGAAATCAAGGATCAAAGTGAGTGAAGTGTGTTTCTCAACCCTCAAGAGATGTGCACATGTGTTTGGGGTGCCAAGAGAGTGGCCAAGGCCGGCCATACCATCTATTTTATAGCCAACACATCAATTATAACCGTTACCCTCTTGAACTAGTTTCTACGGGGGCACTAGATAGCCTGTCCGGTGCCACTACTGCAGAAAACTTAATCGAGACGGACAAAATCGATTAACCGAGGCGTGCAAGGCAACCGCCTCGGCCAAAAGGTCACGGTTAATCGAGCCTTAACGAAGGCGGTTCAGTTAATCGATTAACCGAGACAGGCACGGTGCCCGCCTTCGTTAATCCCATTAACCGAGGTGGACATCCATTAATGCTCTCCAAAAAACCAAAAAACCAAAAAAACTTGCGATTTTGGAGAATCAAATCCACGACCTGGCGCTCAACACTACCATGTCTCTACCACCGCACCTAATACTCATTCATGTTTATATATAATATGCTATCATTTTATATTAATATTTCATAATCTTATATTGGATATTTTAGCTACTAAATGAACTTAAATGAAAAACTTTTAACTACAAAGTTTTAAATCTTGTGAAGTACTACAACTTTGGTATATGATGTATCTCCATCAGAGACAGTTTAAAAAATTCAAAAATTGAGTCTCATAACATGTGAATTTTAAACACATATTTGAGACTCTAAGTGACTTTAAATCAAAAACTTGTCAATATCAAACATGTAGACCAGGTTGACCACTAGAACTTTGGTATTAACTATGTGAACATTTAAGATCGTTTAGGAATTTGAAATTTTAAATTTCAAAATCTATAACCTTGGAACACATATTTGGTACTCTAAACATCTTCAAATTAAAAACTTTTCAACTACACATTGTAGATTCTATTGAGAAATACAACTTTTATATAGACCATGTGAACATCCGAGATTGTTTGATAATTTTAAATTTTAAATTTCAAAATCTGTGCACTTGCAACAATATTTTGGGATTCTAAACAGATTCAAATCAAAAATATTTCAACTACAAAGTTGTAGATCTCGTCGAGAGCTATAATTTTGATATAAAGTTTATCTTTATCCAAGTTCTTATCAAAAAGTTATAAATTATTTTTTGTTGCAATCATTAACCGATGCGGACATCTTAAGACGCTCGCCTTCGTAAATCGATTTAGAGTTTTTTACCTATATATGGCCCTAGAAAAATGGCTCTTCTTTGAATGGCCCTTTTTGAACTTATTTGTATGGCCCTGAAACGAACTTTCATTCCTTCTATGGCTTTTCGTTCGTTTTTGCCACTAGACGGTGTTAAGTAAAGGGTAAAAGGACCGTTTTGCCCCTGGCGAAAAAAAAATAAATTGTAGAGTTTTGCTTGGTTGTTGTATATTTGGAGTAATATTAAGCAAGTAAATTCACACATAACAGTAGGGTATATGTGGAGTATTTAATCAAGTACACATAACAATACATATTTGAAGTAATATTAAGAAAATAGGACACATAACAGTACATTATGTGCTCTAAAAATTCACAAATGCATTGCAATTAACCATAGGTCTCACATAAATAAGGTCTCACATAAATTTACCATAGTTTTAGTCTTATATAAATAAGATCTCACATAAATAAGGACTCACAAAAGTGCAAATTCAAACATACATCGGTGAAAAGTTCTTGTTTGGTTTTAGTAATTGAGTGACAACCTAGGTGGACTAATATGTGTTTATGTGAAATACACAGGTAATTAGTCCACAGGAATACTTGTGTGAGCAACACATGCCATGGAGATGAAAATAGCTTAGTTATGTTACAAGGCTCACACATGTGATAAAGGAACTTATTGCATATGAGACATGACATTGAGTCATGTGACTAAGGTGAAGAAGATCAAGATAAGACTTGGCTTGATAGATCGGTTGCAAGTGTGAAGGGCAAGTTGGAGGCTTTGGAGCGATGGACCACGTGATGGTGAAGCTTGAGTAAGATTTGGCGCCGATGGACGAAGGCAGCAGTGAAAAGCAAGTGAGGTCAAGATCAATGAACCAACAAGGTCACGTTATGATATGAAGTGGATCATATCATTTGTGATATGGTTGATGCATGTGTTGCATCAACATTAGAGGAGATGGAATGGAATGTGCAAGGCAAAGGTATAACCTATAGGGCATTTCATTTCACTGATCATAGGTGAGTAGAGAAGTTTATGACCGATTTTAGGATAGATGGTTGTACTATCAAGAGGGACAAACTTATTTACATATCGATCATCTAGTGCCACTCGAGTGATCTAACTTTGCATCGTTGCTAGGATCAAGTGGCATGACAAAAAGAGTGCTAATCCTTTGGGAAAATATTTGTAAAAAGCTAACACGCTTGCACAAGTTGGTGAACACTTGGTGGTGTTAGCACATTTGTAAAGGAGAAGTCAAAAGGTGAAGAAGTTGGTAAAGAAGAGGAGGCGAAACCGGGCTCGGGGTGCTGCCTGGGTGGCACTGCCACCCCATGTCCGGTGCACCGCCACCCCTGTGGCGATGACCAGCTAGGAGGCCAAGAGCAGCGTGTTGCTCTGAGAGCACCGCCACTGGTTGTTCGGTGGCACCGACACCCCTAGGGCGGTGCCCACCTAGACTTGGCCGAGCGCAGCAGGGGCCAGGGTGGTCACCGGAAGTGATGGTGTACACCGCCATGGTGTGGGCGGTGCACCACCGGATGTTGTCCGGTGCCACCGTGAAAGCTCTAGTTTAGTTTTGGTGAATTGATGAAACCCTAATTGCTAACCTAGTTTATCTAAGTGATT